ACACACACATACATACACACACACACACACACACACTAGACCAGCCTTGCTGAGCTGGATCTAGAGAGGGTTCTGAAGAGGAATCACAGGCAACCAGTTTCTGTTCCTGGTTTTAAAGACAAAATCGGCCAGGAGTCATGGAATGTGGGCAGCTTCCAGAACCCAACTATGTCCTCCAACTGACAGCCAGCAAGGAAAAGGGGGTCTCATTTTGGTAACTGCAAGGAACTGAATTCTTCCAAAAGCCTGAATACCACGGGAGGCACACCATCTCCAGATGTCAGGGATGACCCAAGTCTGCCAACACTTTGATTCTGGCTTTGAGTGACCCAGAACAGAGACTGAACCCACCCAGATTTCTGCCCTAAGAGCTGTGAGAGAGCAAATGTATTGTTTGAAACAGAAAGTTAACATAAGGAGAGAAATGTTCTGTTCTAACTTAGCTGCCAGTGGCAGTCCCAACCACTTCCCAGCAATGTGGTCTTATGACACAGCCACCACAAAGGTCCCCCATTGCACATGCTCAGAAGTAGTGACTGAAGGAGATTGCACAGTCTGCATCCTGTACCTTGCTGGGGTAGAGCCAACTTCACCACCAAAAATCCACCAACCAGTTTCCCACCTGTTCTGCCAGATCAAGAGTCTCTCCCAAAGAAACAGAGATGGCCCAGCTATAAGGCCTTGTGTGGGGAGGCTCCATCTTCAAGATTCCTTCTGTACTGAATGCTTAGCCTTGCTTGCCCACTGTACAAAGGCTGTCTGATCCCTGGCTTGCTGTCTTAGTTAGGGTTTCTACTACTGTGAAGAGACACCATGACCACAGCAACTCTTTTTTAATGTTTTTATTTTATATGCATTGGTGTTTTGCCATGGGTGTCAGGTCCCCTGGAACTGGAGGTCCAGATAGTTGTGAGCCACCATGTGGGTGCTGGGAATTGAACCCTGGTCCTCTGAAAGAGCAGTCAGTGCTCTTAACCACTGAGCCATCTTTCCAGCCCCGACCATGGCAAGTCTTATAAAGGAAAAACATTGAATTGAAACGGCTTACTTTTTTTTT